TTGGATCTCGACTTGCCAATCGGCTGCTGACTGGTCGTTAGTGGTTGCTACAGGAACGGTTTCGTCCTCATCGGCTGTGATTTGGAGAAACTTCCTGGGTCGGGACTATGCTGGGTTGGGATATTCCTTGAACTGGAATAGTTCTCTGAAGGACTGAATCTCTGTTCGATGCTATAGCAGCTAGGGCATTAGCGATGGTGTTGGCAGATCGGTCGATCTGATGTAGTTCAAAGGTTGTAAACTCTGCTGCTAACTGCTTCACCAGCTTCAGGTAGGCGTCCATTTGATCGTCTTTCGCACCGTACTCTCCGCTGAACTGCTTGGCGACGAGCTGCGAATCGTTAAATGCCCGAATGTGTTGGATGTTCATCCCCCGAGCTAGTCGGAGGCCTCTGATCAGAGCTTCGTACTCGGCTTCGTTGTTGGATGCACTAAACTCCAAGCAGAAGCACTGCTCGAGAAGTTCTCCGATGGGAGATTCCAATAAGATGCCGATGCCAGCTCCTAATCGCGATGATGCTCCGTTGACGTGTGGTGTCCATGTTTCAGAATTCGCCGGGTCGGCATTCAGAAGTTCAGGTGACAGTTCGATCAAGAAGTCTGCCAAAACTTGTGATTTTGAGGAGGTCTGGGTTCGATACTCGATATCGAATTCGGATAGCTCGATGGCCCACTTCACCATACATCCGGATTGTGTTGGGCTGTGCAGGATCGATCGAAAAGGGTGGCTGGTCAGGACTGCAATGGAGTGAGATTGGAAATAAGGTCGCCACTTTCTGGAAGCGACGACCACCGCGAGGGCGAGTTTCTCCAAGGTCGGGTAGCGAGTCTCAGCTCCATCCAAAGTCTTGCTGAAGTAGAAGATCGGCTTCTGCTCCCCACAGTCCTCTCGGACCAAGACTCCGCTAATTGTCGCACTGGAAACCGCTATGTAGAGTAGCAGAGTGTTGCCGTACTCAGGTTTGGCCAGGATCGGAGGTGTTGAGAGATAGGTTTTGAGCTGCAGGAACGCTTCTTCACACTTCTCGTCCCATTCAAATCGCTTGTTACCTCGTAGAAGTTGATAAAAGGGCAGACATTTGTCCGTGGATCGAGATATGAATCTGTTCAGTGCGGCTATCCTTCCTGTTAGGCGCTGAACTTCGCGAGTATTTCTTGGTGAGGGTAGCTCCAGGATCGCAGAGATCTGCTTAGGATTGGCTTCGATGCCGTGCTGAGTGACCAAGTATCCTAGGAATTCGCCGGATGTGACTGTGAATGTGCATTTTGCGGGATTAAGCTTCATGCCATACTCGTTGAGTATGAGAAAGCATTCACGCAGATGGACAATATGATTGGCTGCTTTAGCCGATTTGACGAGCATATCGTCTATATACACGTCCATCGTCTTCCCGAGCTGATCGGCGAACATCTTGTTGACGAGGCGCTGATAGGTGGCTCCTGCGTTCTTCAAGCCAAACGACATGACCTTGTAGCAATAGGTTCCTCGATCTGTGATGAATGCGGTCTTCTCACTATCATATGGATTCATGAGAATCTGGTTGTATCCTGAGAATGCATCCATGAAGGAGAGGAAAACTGTTTTTGCAAGGGAGAGGAAAACTGTCTTTCAGACAAGCTTTGTTGAGGTTTGTGAAATCCACGCAGACTCGCCATTTCCCGTTCTTCTTCTTGACTACCACCGGGTTGGCGAGCTACTCTGGATACTTGACCTCGGCGATTGATCCGGCCTTCAGCAGCTTATCTACTTCGTCGTAGACGGCTTGTGCTCGCTCAGGCCATAACTTCCGTCGCTTCTGCTTGATTGGCTTGAAAGTGGGGTCGGCGTTCAACTCGTGATTGGTGATTCGAGGGCTAATGCCCTTCATATCAGCCATGGACTACGTAAACATTGCGACATTCTCCCGGAGGAAACTGATCAGCTCGTCTTGCATGCCTGGCAACAGTTCTGTGCCAATGCAGACGCAACGTTCTAGGTGAGCAGCATCGATGTTGACTTGGACGATGAGATTGCTCTTCGGCTTCTCGTCGTGGTGAATTATCCATGGATCAAAGTCGCTGCTACTGCCGATCACGAACGTCGATGCTTTGCGGGCGCGTTTGTTGTCGATGTAAGAATGTCGAGACACTGTCTGATCGCCACAGATGGTGATGAGACGGCCCCTGATCGGCATTTTGATGCATTGGTAGTAAGGAGAAGGGACGGTCCGCATGGCATTCAGCCAGGGTGTTCCAAGGATGGCATTATAGATTGCAGATCGGTCGATAACTTCAAACTTGACCGTAATTGACTTCCCGCGTATGGTGACAAGCATCGTTATAGTTCATATCGTGGAGATCGAATCTCCAGAAAACCCGGTGAGGGGTGATGGCATGACTATGATGTCCCGCTCGGGGATACTCATCTTGCATGGAGTATCCATGAAGATGAGGTCGACCGAACTTCCTGTGTCGATCAGCACTTTGGAGACGTTATCTTCTCCGAGCCGCAGTGAGATGACGAGTGGATCGTTATGAGGTCGGTCTATATCTTGAGCGTCTTGCTCTGTAAATGTGATTGGTAGGTCATCTTTAAACAGCGGTGGGGCGTCCTTCGGAGGGTTGGATGTCTTTTGTTCGTGCCGTTTAATCGAATTGATCGAGTCGGTGCACGAGAGAAGCCCTCTCATGATCATGCTGATCCACCGACGTGGTGAGCTCGGGGGTGTGTGATCGTCTTCACGGTCACGCTTTGCTTTCTTGCCTTCGCGTTTAAAAGATGGGCGATCAGCATCGGTTCGTCTATCTCGATCAGCATCGGCTCTTCTATCTCGATCGTCATCGAATCGCCTGTCCTGATCATCGTCGGATCATCGCGAAGAACTCCGGGGCTCAGGTATGGTGCATTCGCCATCTTCCCATGCAGTTCTCAAGAGGGCCGGGAGGGTATGGCAGTCATCGGTATGATGGCTGTGTGCCTTGTGGTACTTGCACCACGGCTTCTTATTATCAGGGTCTCTGTCACTCGAATGATCCCAAACGTTCCATGGCTTTTTCGGTCGTCCAACGGCGTTGATACTCTTATAATTCTTATCATCCTTGTCGTAGTGCTGACGAGGCTCTTTGTAATCGTCCTGAGTCGACGATCTGGGTTTCTTGTCGTGCAAGGACTTCTCATCGGCAACCTTGGCCTTGGCCCTGGCCGTCCGATCTTTTTCGACCCTGATATAGCCGGTTGCCTTGTGCAAAGCATCTTCTAGGGTTTTGGTCTTTCTCATTTTCAATCGCTTGCAGTACGACGAATCATCTCTCGAGTTCCTGATGAGGATGTTGAGGGAGAGCTCGTCCGATAAACTACATCGGGAAACGATCGATCGGAACTGGTCGATGAAGTTGTGCAATGGCTCCGTGTCGCCCTGGACGTATGCCCATAGATTGAATGCTGTGGACTCCGTGTCGATGCAGATTGAGTAATGCTTAAGGAACCGAGCTATGAGTTCCTTGTAGTTATCAATAGAATTTTTAGGAAGCTGTGAGAACCAGGTGAGGCCGCTTCCGGAGAGCGTCTCCACGAAGTACTGACAGAGGCATGCTTCCCGCTCCTCTTCGGTGAAGCGAGCGCGTCCCATGACTGCGTTGAACGCAGTCAGGTGTCGCTTTGGGTCTCTCGTGCCGGTGTAACTCGGAGGTAGCTTCATCCGGCATATGTCTTTGAGAGGAGCGTTGGTGATGGCCGACGTGAACGGGGTCTGCTGCGTCTGCTGGAGGATCTTATCCAACTCTGGTGTTGAGGTCGTCGCCTTGTGGATCTTGTTGTGGATATCGTCAAGGCGTTAGTGGAGAAGATCAAGTTCTGAGACCGTCGTCAGGTCGGCACCTGCGGTGTTACGGGATGAGCAAGCATTTGAGCCTTCGACCTGTGCTCTCCGCAGGTCGTCTGTCGGCGTGGTGCCAAACAGGTTGTTGACCAGTCTGGTCGTATCTGTGTTGCGGATCGAAAGGCGAGGGGGGGGGGGGGTGATTAGATCGGCCTGCTCTTGGGTATAAACCCTAGAGTTGAGAAGCCGATCTAGGTCTTCTCGGTAGGCAATCTGCTCGGCACAGAGGGATTCAAAGCGAGCATCAATTCCCTACTGTAGCTGTGCTGTGACCAATCTGATGATGGTGGTCATGTCGATGGGAGGCGGTTGTGGCAGGTTGGTTGTGTTTGTTCCACCGGTCCGGCCGACCTGTTCTGTCGCGCCTGACGTGTCTTCTTGCTGATCGATCTGGTTGATCACTAGGAGTCCAGTGACTGGGTCAACGACCGGACCCTGGGCATTTCTTCTTGGATCGGCAGCTCCCCCTGCAAGATCGGTGGATCCTCCTGTGAGGTCGGTCGCTCCCGTGGTTAGGTTGATGGTGTTGATCGGTGTTTCAACCATCTTCGAGCTCCGTTCTAAGTCAAAGATTGTTCTCTTATTCCCCTCAAATGGCGCCAACTAAAAAACTCAAGTTCGATCTACGAAAGAACTAGGGTTTGTGGGTTTAAAGAGAAGTCTTTTATTAGAAGAAGCCGGAGCTTGAATGAATACACGGAGGTTTAGGTCGTCGGAATAAGAACACCGACCTAAACTTTTAAGGAAAGTAAATCGAAAGCTAGAACAATCAGATTGCTTAGTTTGTCCTAGGTTTCGATAGATGATTTTTGGATGATCTGAGAAGTCGAGGGTGTCCCATATTTATAGCTGATCAGGTCGGTCTTCGATGTGTGTTTAGAATAGAAAAATCTTTTTGCCGACAAGAAGAAATTTCCTTTTTCCTGGGTTCGTTCGATAAATGAAAGGTTTCCATTTGTTCAGCCGACCTGAAACTTGTAGAATGGACCCATCATAATTCATATCGGACTTGTAGAGATGGTTCGAATCTCATCTTTAACCCTCAGAGTCTTGAAGATTTTTATTTATTTATTAATTACACAAGAGTTCATGAAAAGATTAACTAATTTAGTATTGTTATTATGAAACATGATAGGTTTAACGATGAACATGGAGGAAGTACCAGAGGGGATGTTGAATAATTCACATGGTGAAGTTGGTTGTTCGTTGACGTATTTACGAGGCGAAGTTGATCCTTTGATCTTCATTAAGAAGTTGTATGAAGCGAGAGATTTCACTATGCTCTACCGAATGGATTATGGATATGAAGAGAATCCAGAAGAGACCCGTAAACCAAATAATCAATTCATGGTTAGTAACTTTGTATATATAACTTCTCTAACTTTCACTTTGAAACACTTATCAATAATTTTATATATCTCACACGATTTCTTTTTTTCACTACTCTGAAAATAATAATGCATGTGTTTTTGGCTTTTGCAGAGATGTATATTCAAACTAGACACATTAGAAGAAGGCTGGAATGAGAGAATGATAGGAGCTTTAAAACCCGTCCAAGGTTCATAACTTCTTTAATATAGATCATCAATTTTTGGACAAAAGTTTTTGTTTTTGTTTTCTTGATTTGTGGGTTCGGTTTCAGGTGTATCATTTACCATAGATGCACCAGCACAAACGGTATTTGCATGTGGGAACATTGAAGTTGGAGTACTGATGAAGACGATAGAGAAGACAGGCAATCATCTATTGTCAATCGACTATGGAGTCGAGACTGTCGAGTGTAAAGATCCAAACCTGAAGCCACCAGCCAAAAGACTTGAAGCTGCTACTCCTGCGAATGAAACTGAGGCACAGCCTGCGAAAGACACAGTGCCTACTCGTCCTGAAGATGTTAGTACATCAACGAAACAAAGAGTCATACATGCGAGGCTTTAGAATGTTCGGTTGTTGCTAGAGAATCATGTCAGTTACTAGATTCATATATATAGTCAGTGCTTTCCTAATAAAATAGAAACTCCATAAATTAATACTCATAAAATAATAAACTCTATAAATTAATATTTTTTCTGGTGAGTATATAAATTATATTTTTATGATAATCAAAATATAACACAAATCTGTAAGATATAATAAGATAATATTTTTTTAAAAAAAAAATCTATGTAATTATATAGTTCTATTATATTATAAACTAATGATTACCATAAAATTAATCAAATATAAATATATATAAGTATGTTAATTTACGAAAATATGAAGATATAATTCTTTGTTTTTTTTATAAAAATTGAAATAATGTTATAATTCATCTATAATTTAAAAATGAAATGTTTAAAAATATCATAAACTTTTTAAACAAATATTATTTCTAATTAATTATCAATAAATAATTTATTTAAATCAAAACTGAAAAATTAATAACTTTATAAATTATTAACTAAAATTCATATAAGATGGTATGCAGCTTTTTCACATTTTGAAAACGTGATACTATTATTTTTTACCATTCATGTTATTCATCACGTTTCCACATTTTACTTTTTATTTTTTTGAAACGTGATTCCACTAATCCTTTCAGCGTTTCACAATTATTCAGCTGAATAATATTTTATTCAAGCATCAACAAATTTGTGGGGTTCATGCTTGACATTGTCAGACTAAATTTGTTGATCGATCCTCTAAAGGGAATTAACAATAACACGTAAAATTGTGTAAAGTCAGACATTCTAAGAGATATATATTCAAGCATTCTTACTTGAAAAACAATTTGTAAATTGTGACACAGTAATCTTTTTGGAGATGGAAGGACTACCGCACTTATAAATTTGTAATCACGTAATATAATAATAAGATCAACCCATTTTATCATCTTTGGAAATGGAAAGACTCCTTTATAATAAGATTTACTTAAAAATCAAATTAGTAAATTTACCATCTTTGGATAGGTAAAGATTAGCTGTCGAAAAAAAAAGGATAGGGAAAGATTCGTTTATATTATAATTTCTGAATTGATTTATAATCAGGTTTTCTTGTTTGCGATTTAAAACTAAAAAAAAAAAAAAAAAAGAGAGAGAGAAGCAAACAAACTCTTCTCCACTAGAAATCCAGATCACGATGGCTCCTCTATTGGTAAGAACTTAAGATTGTCTGTCTTCTTCTTCTTTCCCAAGAAATTGTCTATAACTCTCTTGATCTCTAATAGATCATGTGTTACTTTATGAACAGACATGTGTTTTGCTTGTGAAAACCGGACTCCAAGGTTGGGAAAAGGTGTTGACTAAAATATTTCAAGGCATTGAAGGTAAAAAAAAGCTTAAGAGTCTTGAAGATTTTTATTTATTTATTAATATGACACAAGCGCTCAAGAGAAGATTAATTAAAATTGTATTGTTATTATTATGAAACATGATAGGTTTAACTATGAACATGGAGGAAGTACCATACTGGATGTTGCAAAATTTACAATGTGAAGTTGGTTTTTCGCTGACGTATGTAGGAGGCGAAGTTGATCCTTTGATCTTCATTAAGAAGTTGTATAAAGCGAGAGATTTCACTATGCTCTACCGAATGGATTATGGATATGAAGAGAATCCAGACGAAACCCGTAAACCAAATAATCAATTCATGGTTTGTATATATATATCCCTAACTTCTCTAACTTTCACTTTCAAACACTTATCAATAGTTTTATATCTCTCACTACTTCGAATTTAATAATGTATGTGTTTTTGGCTTTTGCAGAGATGTATATTCACACTAGACACATTAGAAGAAGGCTGGGATAAGAGGATGATAGGAGCTTTAAAACCCGTCCAAGGTTCATAACACTTCTTTCATCTATATCCATCACTTTTTGGACAAAAGTTTTTGTTTCCTTGATTTGTGGGTTCGGTTTCAGGTGTATCATTTACCATAGACCAAATAGCACAAATGGTATATTTATGTGGGAACATTGAATTTGGAATACTGATGAAGACGGTAGGGAAGACGGGCATTCATCTATTGGCAATGGAGTATGGAGTCGAGTGTAAAGATCCAAACCTGAAGCCACCAGCCAAAACGCTTGAAGCTCCTCCTCCTCCTCCTCCTCCTGCAAGTGAATCTAAGGCGGCACAGCCCACGAAAGACACTGTGCCACCTACTCGTCCTGAAGATGTTGTTAGTACATCAACGAAACAAAAAGTCATATACGCCAAGCCTAGCCGTTTTAAATGGTTTTTTTGCTGCTAGAGAATCATGTCACTTACTAGATCCATTAGTAGCTTCTCTTATGTTTAATAGTGAATAATAATCAACTTGGATAGTACTCAAATGACTATTTACTATAAATATTCGAATATTTTCTAGTTCAAATGTCCGTGTTAAACAGAATCCGAGATCTCAATTGGTATATTTTATGTTCTACGTTATTAGGTTACCTATTTTGTTTTTGTGATATAAAATATTATTCACTTCTTAACACACTTATCAATGATCAAGACTCAGTAAAAATAGCCAAGGACGTAGCCATAATGCAGAGTTGGTGGGCAGAGGCTCGTCCGTGATAACTTGTTCGGAAGGATAGATTTAATTACTTATAAATTTGTAATCACATAATATAATAATAAGATCAACCCACTTTACCATCTTTGCATAGAATATCTTTGGAAAGGGAAAGACTCATTTATTATAAGATTTACTTAAAAAAATAATTAGTAAATTTACCATATTTGGATAGGCTGTCAAAAAAAAAAAAAAAAGAGGATAGGGAAAGGTTCCTTTATAATTCAAATATATAATTCTAACTTCTGAACTGATTTTATAATCAGATTTTCTTGTTTGAGATTTTATTAACTGAAAAAAAAGAGAAGCAAACAAACCCTCTTCACCTAGAAATCCAGAAACGATATGGCTCCTCCAATGGTAAGAAATTAAGATTTTCTGTTTTTTTTTTTGCTTCTTTCCCAAGAAATTGTCTATAACTCTCTTGATCTTAATCCTCTTATAGTTCATGTGTAACTTTATGAACAGACATGTATTTTGCTTGTGAAAACCGGACAAGGTTGGGAAAAGGTGTTGACTAAAATATTTCAAGGCATTGAAGGTAAAAAAGCTTAGAGTCTGGAAGATTTTTTTTAATTAATTACACAAGAGTTCAAGAGAAGATTAACTAATTTAGTATTGTTGTTATGAAACATGATAGGTTTAACTATCAGCATAAAGCAAGCACCATACTGGATGTTGCGTAATCTACAATGTGAAGATGACTTTTCGTTCACGTATTTACGAGGCGAAGTTGATCCATTGATCTTCATTAAGAGGTTGTATAAAGCGAGAGATTTCACAATGCTCTTCCGATTGGTGTATGGATATGAAGAGCCTCCAGAAGAAACAAATAATCAATTCATGGTTTGTATATATGTCACTAACTTGTCTAACTTTCACTTTCAAAAAAAATTATCAATCGTTTTATATATCTCACATAATTCAAAAAAAAAAATGAATTTTGAATTTATAATTGTGTCTCTGTTTTTGGCTTTTGCAGAGATATTGTGAATTCATGCTAGACACACTAGAAGAAGGTTGGGATAAGAGAATGATAGGAGTTTTAAAACCCCTCCAAGGTTCACAACTTATATAATGTATTGATCATCAATTTTTGGACAAAAGTTTTTGTTTTTTTTTTGTTTTCTTGATTTGTGGGTTCGGTTTCAGGTGTATCATTTATCATTGATGCAGAAACACAAACGGTATCTTTAAAAGGGAACATTGAGTTTGGAGTACTGATGAAGACGCTAGGGAAGACGGGCATTCGTCCATTGAATATGGACTATGGAGTCGATCCAAACCTGAAGCCACCAGCCAAAACGCTTGAAGCTCCTCCTCCTCCTCCTCCTCCTCCTGCAAGTGAATGTAAGGCGGCACAGCCCGCAAAAGACACTGTGCCGCCTACTCGTCCTGAAGATGTTGTTAGTACATCAACGAAACAAAAAGTCATATATGCCAAGCCTAGCCGTTTTAAATGGTTTTTTTGCTGCTAGAGAATCATGTCACTTACTAGTAGGGGTGGGCAAAATATCCGTTGTATCCGCTTCGAACCGATATTTGCTTCGATCCGATTCGAAAAATCCGGATATCCGTAAAACTTCGGAGCAAAGCAAATAGCAAAATGTAGTATCCGTACAAAACGGAGCAAATCACAAATATGTTTTTAGAAAACGCCGAATATCCGATCTAATCCTTATCTTTATAAATTTATTATATATTATCATGTATATATCAATTATATTATAAATTTTTATTAATATATTCTCAATTTTCTTCCTAAATTTTCAATTGTTCTTTTGATTTTATAAAATAAATGACTAAATAACCAATTATAAAAAATAAATAATATGTTTAAACTTAAAATATGTTAATAAATAACATTTTATTTTATATTAGTAAATAAATATCAACAAAAGTTTTTTAGTAAAGTTTAATATTAAAATTTCAAATAGTTAATATTATTTTTAAATATAAAATATCATTTTTCCTCATCTTAATTTTGTAGGTTTATTTTTTATAGATTTTTTTTATAGAATAAAATATTTTCTTTTAGTTATTTTCACTTAATAGTTTAGATGAATTTTTTTTTTATAATAAAAATCGATGTACTTTCAGTTTTGTGTATATTAAACGAATCAAACTAAATATTCATAAATATTCATAAATATCCGCAAATATCCGCAAATACTTGTAAATTTTTCAGATATCCGAAAATCTAGATATCCGTATATTTCCGGAACAAATCAAATCATAAAATTAAATATCCGTTAAAAATGGAGCAAACCATAAATACTAAAAAAATTTCAGATATCCGATCTGCGCGCACCCCTACTTACTAGATTCATTAGTAGCTTCTCTTATGTTTAGTAGTGAATCATAATCAACTAGGATAGTACCCAAATGACTATTTACTATAAATATTCGAATATTTTTACTTCAAATATCAATTGCAGTTCTTGTTAAACAGAATCCGAGATCTCAATTGGTATATTTTATGTTCTACGATATTAGGTTACCTATATTTGTTTTTGTGATATAAAATATTTTTTCAGAGAAGCAATGGCGGATCCAACTCCGGACGAGGCTCATGAGAGAAGTTTAGCCACTGGTTTGCTTTGTGGTATTCTCAAACAAACCTTGATTAGCCGACCTGATTTTAAGCTGGTTGTGATGAGTGCAACACAAGACAAGCTCCACGAGCTGCACTAGCTTTTTAGCCGTCTTACTTCTATCCAGTGGAGGTCTTGTTATGCTCGAGAACCTGAATAATAATAGATTCACAAACTCAATTAATAGACGATTATCAAAAGAGTAGATGAGTTTGTGAATCTATTATTATTCAGTGATTTAATACATAAATTACACCCCAAAAAAGTTTTGTAATTGATAGGAAACTGTAGTGTATTATCCCTAATGAACCATACAAACATATATGATGAATATGTAAAGAAAGAAAGATATCAAAAGAACACCATAAAAGAAACATTAAATTGCCGCTATAAAACGAAATTTCTTCGTTTGTATGTTTCGATTAGATTCTCCCAATAAAGAAATCTCTTTTCTGAATTTTCTTTTTTCATGTTGGAGGCACAGCTCTTAGCCTCATCATCATCATCATCACTCCAAATCTCTGAGGCTTTCACTTGTCAACCAGAGCTTCTTCTGGACAACAAGTATGACACTGTCGGAGTCTTGGTCTGAATCTGAGGCTGCCTTAGTATCAACTGCTTCCCAATGCAAAGCCTTGAGATACTTCTTCACAAGATCGACTACTGATTGTTTGTCCCTTATGAGTACGAAACCGCTTGGTCGAAGTATACGGTCCATCTCCAACAGCAAATCCTCTGCGCTGCAACCTCTCTTCTTGATATCAGATATGATGTCCCAAGCATGGAGCAAATCATAAGTCCTAGGGTAAGTTGAGAACGCTTCACACCTGCGACATGATCATAAGAATAAATCAAAGAGAAACATGTATATATAGTAATGGATTTTGGTTAAGGGAGAAACGGACCAGCTATGAACAGCACCCATAAGGCCTCTGTCGTATATCAGTTTAAGCGTGTTGGGTCCGTCTTCAGGAACAACGTTCATAACCCAAACATCTTTATCTTTCAGAGCAGCAGCAAAGGAACCCATGCTTGCTTTCATGTCCATTATGTTCCTCACAGTGTCTGATTGGATTTTAGGACTCAAGAGATCCCAATAGGTATCTACTCTCTGCCTCCAAGTTTCCTGTATGGGCAAAAAGTAATAATATAAGGTGACTAGATTCTAATATTGTTGGAGCTTTGATTGCAACTAATAAGATCATGATGGGCTTAAAACATACCGTATCCTTCTCAAACATGTCAGTGGAATATCCAAAATCAGCTAGCCGGGGAGGAGGAGAGGTTAATCGAGCTGGCCATGGAGCCAATCCACTTCCCTTGGTTTTGTGGTCATCTAATAGAAAATCGAGAAAATGTTTCATTAGGCCAAATGATCTCAGAGAAGCTAATATCACAGACGTGCTAAGTTATTTCTCGGTTATTCAAAAGCAAGGAGGGAGAATGAAAACTTACGGTCACTGTATTGAGTAATGCAAGCTTCCATGTTTACACCATATACAGCATCAGGGTCACTGTCAGAATTGCATAGAGGAGGCTGTGTTCCTGGTTCTCTTCCCAAATAACAATCGTTTGTCAAAGGTTTTTGCCAAATTACAGTTTGGTTCCTCTTCGCAGCTATCGTCCAGCACATACGCCCAACAAGAGCACTCATTTCCCTCCATATTCTGAGGTCCTCTTCATCTTGTGCATATGCTTCTGGAGATGAATATGCAAAATAGCCACCAGGTCTTAGCACCCTGTCGAGCTCGAGAAGAAGGATACCGTCTCTTTGAAGCCAGTCGATTCGGCAACGAGAACAGTGTGCAAGTTCAAAGGATCTGCTTGGGTATGGGAGCCTCTTGGTCCCTAGAACACCGAGGTATGCAGGAATCCCTCTCTCAAGAGCAAACTGGATTTGGTTCTGATGCACATCATTTGGTGCCAAGGACATTGTCATAATCTCTGATGCAAGAAGATAACCTCCAAAGCTCGCAACACCACAGCCAACATCCAGAAATGTCCTCAGGTTTCCCCCATTGTTCAAAATGTTGTTCGGAAAGTTAAGCATCTGCAATTTCCAAGAACAGCATCAGTAACTGAAGAACGGTGATACCTCTGTGGTGCATAACATCTAGTATTCTTCCTTACATTTGCCATTGATGCAATATACTTATCAGCACCATAGTGAAAATGCGTGCCTCCACCAGGGAAATTGATCTTCTCTCCTTTGACAACCATCCAGTTTTGGTCAGACTTCTCATGCGCAAGGTGAGTATGAGGAATGTTCACTTTCCACACTTCGTCTCTGCTTTTCGGCCACTTGATTGGAATCTAGACATATCGACAGAGAAAGAAAGCAGCTTCAAAACATGCACAAGAAATGTAAAGACAGTGATCATATCAACAAAGCTACATATAATGACCCACCTTATAACCTGGAGGAGGAGGGATCAAGCAGTTAAATCGCCTTTCAGGAGGAGGACAGTGGCGTTCATAATGCTCCATCAAAGACAAGTCCAGCTTCAATCTCATTTGGTATATGAGATTCCTGTCTAAGCAAGGAATAAGCTCCGAGTGCCGGTCATCACACACCTTTGCAAGAAGAAAAAATGGGTAACATCAGAATTTAAGGAATGCTTCTTGGCAGAAAAATAAAGTAAGGAAAACGGGTCCAAGAAACTCACAGGAAAGCTTCTTGGTGTGAAACCATTGCTTCCCTCATCAACAGCAAACAAGCTAGAAATATCATCCTTCTTGGTGTCATCGTCATCACCACCTAACCCTAGCTTCCTCCCATACTCAATAGCTGATGCTCCATGGTTAGAGGAGCCGAAGAAGAGATATACACAAACAAGTACTACCGCTGCAACGCAGACCAAAACAATCACCGGCTTCTTTTTCCCTCCATCCGATCTTCCCCTCATCGCCTCAGCGTATAGTTGACGACTCCAAAAACGAGTGATTCTACAGAAACAACAAGATTGAAACTTTCAGCATCAAGAACCATAAGAATATGTACAAGCTATGATCTTTTAAGAGCAATAAAACAAAGTCAGGAAAAGCTTGAAACCAAAACTGAAATGGGATCACTTATAAACTATCATTAAACTCAGAAAGATGTTTTTGATAGTCACTAAAAAATGATCATCCAAGCCTCCCAAAGTAAATGAATCTGGAACAATGTAGGAGACAAACTAGCATTTAAATAGCATAGTTCGTAATGGCTTGTTGACATTTGTTTCTGTCAGTTAATTATTAGATCCTGCTGATCAACGCCATTAATAAACTAAAAGTTGCCAAATCATGGATCTGATATGAGAAACTACACAAAACTAACAAAAGCAATTCAAATCTCAACCAAAAAGAGGAAATCGAAGCGAATCCCCGATCAAGAAACAAAAGCCCGAATGAAATTTCAATACGAATTCCAAAATTGATAAGTTCACATTATACGATTAAGCAGCAAATCGTGAACGTATTAACCCGAAAGCAAGTAATCAGATGAGAAAAATCCGAAATGAGAAAAGAAAAAACTCACCAGTAGCTCTGTAGATTTGGAGGAGACGGGGAGAAACAGATCACAGATTAAGGCAGAGAGAGAGAGAGAGGCACAAATCGTCGGTGGAGAGGAAGAGATCGAAGAAATGGAGTGAGATTCGGATCTAAAGGAAGTTAGAAAGAGACTGCTTCTTCTTCTGTATTGTCTATATTGGGAAACGAACGAACTTCTCTTTCTCTTCCTTCCTTTTTGGTGGAAATGAGAATCAAAGCAGCAAGGCGGCAGCGAGAGAGAGAGAGACTTCGAGTGAAGAGAGAGAGAGAGAGAGAGAGAGAGAGAGCGTCAAGGTCGTTAATTATTTATTAACAATCTGCTTTGCATTGAATTTTAATTGTTTTTTTATTAATAGATCTTATTTTTTTTTCCTTATTTTTTTTTGTGTGTCGGTGATCTTTTTGTTTTTGTCATGAAATGTAGAAGAGGAGCTATGTTTTATTTATTTATTTGACTTTTTAGTGTTGTGTATTTGTCTCTGGATCTACGCGTTTATATCTTTCTGTTCTTGAGTGGGTTTCTAACTTACTAAAATCATAAATTACTCTTATGAAAATCAGTTTACACTTGTCGAATAGTGTTTTGGTTGACTTGTTGCCATTTTATACTTCTCCAAAAGCTTGAACTTCTTTTTAGTGTGACCTATATACATATCATGTTTAATCAAATTTTTTTCTTCTGTGTGTAAGGAAATCAAATTTCTTACCAAAAAAAAAAATGAACATAGAATCTAGTTTTCATTTATAGGAAACTGGAACTAATTTACTAGTCCACTAATTTTTGTTTTCGTTTCTAATTTAATTGTTAGTTGAGGTTTCATATATACATGTATAACTTATTTTCTCTCTTTATTTTAAAAACTTTGACCAATATTTATAAATATGTTCTTCTTTTACACGTATAGTATTTCTATTAAAATTTTACCGATTCATAATATGATTTTTTGTATATTCGTTATTTTAAAAAAACTTGAAAATGCAGCTATTAATGTACTTATACTTATTTATATGGTTTTATACTTCTATTATTACTAAACGCTAACAAAACAGAATATTTTGAATTTTGAATGTTTAATTTGTTTCGAAGATCTTTTTCCCCTTTATTTATCGTTTTGCCACCATGACCATGTACATTAACCCTAAAATATAAATACTGTTAATTAGTTGAAAATACTCAAATTAAAATAGAATGGAAATTAGGATACGTTTCGCTAATTTGTTGGACACTGGGCTAAAGCCTGTTAGTAAAATGGGCTTGAAACAATTTAAGCGGGAATGAAAAAGTCCAACTAAACTCCAAGAAGAAAAGAGAAAAACAGGTGCGCCAGATATGTGCCACGTGTTTGAGATCGAATGGAGGCTAATAACCATTTTTTAGACATTTTCATTTATCGTTTTTTGTTTCAGCTGACATGAAATGACATGAGACGGTGAGCGCGTGTGAAGCGGGGCCCATACCCGCTTTGATCCACCAATCAAGCTTCACCTATGTTTTCACCATGCCTTAAATGACATACTATATTATTGACTAATAAATTGTTACTTAAGGATGTTTGTTCACTAATTTTTTTTACTGTTCTAAGTTATTAAGCTGATCCTAAACGACTAGGAACAAACTGATTTAGTTGATACTGTTTCATGTGAACTCGTATGTGTAACGTATTATCCATCATCTTCAATATTAATACGGCATATTTTCTATAAAAAATTGAGTCTCGAAAACTGCCTTAATTTTTAAGAAAAGTATTGTTTATCACTATATATCAGTTGTATCTTCGTTCATAATTAGAACACATAATCACTCTAGTGAGCTCACTGGATCTCATTATGAAAATCAAGTTAGCGTCGTAATTAAGGGTCCAATAAATCTCCGTTTAAAGTCTCGCATGATTTATGTAAACAATTAAAACATACAGGTCCAACAGTTCAATATTTTTAATCAAGATTCATTTTTGCAATTTATAAAAACGTCAATACTACCAAAAAAGAATTTATAAAAACGTCAACAATGTATCAAATGCAAACATTTATTATGAAAATCAAGAATTTACCGATACAATAATAACTTTTGTAAATAAAATAGAGAAAGCAAAAGACTTTTGCAACAAAGGACAAGAAACTGAATGATTTGCCAATTCCCTACCAAATTAAGACGCTACAAAGGAAGGCATACACAGAGCATGAAAAGACACGAGCAGCCATAAGATTCTGCAAATCTTATTTTGTCACGTCTTATCGAAATAAAATAATACTCAACTTACATTATCCTACGTACGTCGTTCTACCAATAGAGGCCAATATATGTAGATATGGGATCTTAAATAGTAACACAAATCAAAGAATACTATGTTACTACTAATTCATAATTCGTCTTGCATTTGGATCCGTTTATTTAAAAAAGTCAACACAAAATATTAAATCATAGGTTGTTAAATCATAGGATACACGAGTTTCTTCTTGATCTGAACTTCAATTAGTAGAAAAAAGTATAAACCCTTGTTGACTTAGGGTTAAGCAAACGCATGTATGAATAAAATATGTTCTGCGAACTTGTCTAATATTGTATGTACTGAAAATATACTATGCGAGGCCAAACGAAGAAAAACAAAAGTACATATTTATTTAATACAACTTCAAATTTTTTAGCTTTCCAAATAAAGGATTTAGAAGAAAAAAAGGGCATGTAGCTTTTAAATAACTCGTGCATTTTCGTCATTGACCGACGAATACTATAAAAGTTATTAAAACAAACGTAGTTTATTGAAACATCTTACTGATGTGACTTATTGCTAATTAGGGCTACTTGAAATCACCGGCTGAGGCGGTGGTAACGGTGCAGGAGGTCGCTTCCGCTTCTTCTTCTCGTAGCTGATCCCACGTGCTCTAGCCTGCGAGTCACGCACTTCCCTCAGGTAGAGTCGAACGGCTCGTGCACCAAAAGGGTTCGTCTCTGGTGAACCACCGTTCTCTTCAAAAGCGGCTCGAAGGCGGCCAATGAGTGCGTCGAGACTGCCCCAAGCTTGTCGAAGTGGACAGGCACATGGTGCTGGTGGGTTTGGATGCCCGAAGAACGGACATAGTTGTGTGTGAACCTAGAGTTACAAGATCAAATTAGCGTTTTGAAATCAGCATTTTCAATATATATAACGATCAAGGAAGGATCATAATTTGTAAGTTTATAATGATTGAGTTAACTATTTGAATATATACAATACAACCGTCGTATATATAAGAATGATAGATAATATATTTGTTTATATAATGATTGAGAGTTCACATTTTGCATAAATACAACCATCATTGGAAGAAAGAATATACGTCGATCACATTTCATTGTTTATGATGATAGATTTAACATTTTCAATAAATACAATTTCCATCATACTCGAATGTAAGTTGTCGGTGATAGATGAATATATATGAAAGATATAAAACCTAAGTAAGATCAATTATAAACGTAGATCAGTGACACTTAGCTCGTTGTAAGAGTAATTGATATCTCGTACAAATATCTACAAGAATCCAATTTAGCTATAATAGGTCAAACAAACTCAAATTAGACATAGGGTTTCATTTGGATCTATATCTCCAAGGGGTCAAACTATAAAAGATTATACATACATATACAGTAAGTATGAATATATAAATATACCTTGGTCTTGCCGAATTGGTCGAGGTACCTGAGGAATTCAAGAACATGAGCACCACTGCAACGGGAGAGAGAAAGTGGCGGACGGTGGTTGCGTAGATACTGTCCGAAAGTGTTCCAATCTCTTCTCTTCTGATTCTCGTACCTACTCAGCTGGTTCGTCGCCGAGCCACCCGAGGAAGACGACGACGAGGAGGAGGTGGTAGTTGTAGCGGCGGCTGCGGCGGCGATCATAAGGTTTGTGTTATGTGAAATGTTTGTTGTCCCCATAAAGCCGTGGATTGGATCCATAATATCAAGATCTGAAACACTAAGGTTTTTCTTTCTTTTTGTTTTTTTTTTTTTTTGACTCTTTCTGATTTTGTAGTTTAGGTTATGATGAAGATGAGAGAAGCTTTATGAGTCTTGAGTTGATAAGGGAAGATGGTGGAGAGAAAAAAAGGAAGATGAGAGGGTATCGTAGTCATTGCTATAAAGAGTGGGTTGAATGTAGTCATGATATAAATATTTTCTTATTTAATATTTTGCTTGACTAATAACAGTGGAATAAATAATAATGCATGCTTGTATTTTGACTATAGAGATTGAGTTCTACACTAACAATATCTCTTAAATCATTATTGTTGTGTGCAAGACTTTGAATAGATTTGGCGGATAAAGGTTAAAAGCCTTAAAGGGGTATATGGTTCGTGTAACTAATGCATACTGAATGCAGGTAAAATGTTAAATAGTACAGCAAATATACACTGTATATCCTCTCTTTTTCTCTGTATAAGACGCTTTAGAAATTTTTATTTCCTTCCTGTAGTATTTTCAACTTAAGAATTGAACTCATTTTCGAAATCTATAATCTTTTAATAATAATCATCAAATAGGGGTAATTTAATCATTTTTTTTTTTCTTATCTGCATGCATTCAACAAGAAAATCATAGAAATCAAAGGAAGGAGTATACTGTATAAGATAGAGTCTTATCAAACATATTTAGTGGTGAGGATGGTTAAAACATTTGATTTTACTGTTTGGATTTATGGAATTTACACACGAACAAATGTTAAACAGAAACAAATTTTTAGTGTTCCAGCACGAGTGCCAAAAGAATGATCTCAGAGTTTGTTAATAATTTGGCACCGAATAACAAATAAACTTGGTGTGTCCAGAACTGTATAATCATTCAGAATACCAAAATAATCATTCAAACTGTATTTTGTGTGTGGATGATATTTGAGCATTTGGCAAAAGTCAGTATTTTATTTAGTCGGGATTGGTTTTGAATCAAACTTCGCACTAATTTCCACTAACGGTAGGAAATTAGGTCTTCTTCGGTGACAAACAATAAATCGTATTTGTAGCATTCAGTTATAATTATATGATATAGATATAGTTTAGTTGTTTTATTTGAAAAAAGTATTTGTTTAATTGATCATCAATGTAGTTATTGAAGACCACAATAAGAATGTGGAATTTAAATACTATTATTATTTACTAAGCGCTAGGAAAAAATGCAAAACTGTTGTAGGTTATTTAAAAAAACTTGTACTGCATTGACTGACTCGGTAAGTTTTCTTTCTTTCTTTGTATTACATAACGAAGATGGAACTTTTTTCAACTGCCGTAAGATAACTTTTTGTTTTCACTCAACTAAGACGAGTTATACAGAAAGATTCACAACAATAATCTTAATTAAAGGATTATGAAACCAAAACTAATTGTAGACATATTCTCATCATTTTAACCTTTTCTTTTCTTCGTCACCTATTTTCATCATTCTGATCTCATTGTTTCTGGACAGCTAACTTTGATTCGGCCACTTCCTTCGTATTTTGGACCGGAGAAGAAGGAACTGACCTATGTACATGGGTAGGACCGTAGGAGTCATGCCCCTACATATTCTCTTACGTCTACGTTATCTATATTATATATGACCATTTTATTCAATTTTAGTATCCGTACTTGAATACGTATATCCTGGTTTTTAAACTTGAGTATTCATATTTATAACATTGTTTTTTCTCTCGATTTTGAGATATAAAAATAACGGTTAAAAGTGTTATAGATTATTAGATTCTTCACATGGAAAAAAGAATATATCTAAATTAATATATGAACCAATCGTATTCGAGAAACTCATCGTCAAGACAATGTTGTGTTTTCTTCTCTTACTCCCCCGTTAATGTGTAGCAAAAGCGGCACTAATTAATTACGTTAGTGTTGTTAGTTATCATTCTCAAAATCTTTTCATTGACACGTTAGTTTGGTTCTTTGTACGCATATGAAACTTAGCAGCTAATACAAATGTAGACAAATACAGTAACTTATAGTTAAATAAAAAGATGGAATCAAATCAACAAATCTAGTGATCAACACTATATAGATTATCAATCTAGAGGAAAGAATAGGGTGGGCAGAAGGGAATATAGTGACGATATATTTGGTTCTTGGTGTTGAGTGGACAACACCTGGAATGAAAAGACGAGATGACCCCTGAAATAAGTTAGCGGCAAGGGGTAACTTGTGGCAGAGGTACAAAACTGGATGGGGACAGAGAGGGAAAAAGAGGAGCAGTGGAGTGTGTTTGAATGGTTACTTAATAAAGAAGGAGAAAGGTTGAGTCAATCAATCAATCCCACTGTTGATTTCATGTCAATGTGGACCATGTGAATTTTATTTTTAACTTTGTGTTTTCTCTTTTTTTGGCTCTTTTCTATTCTTCTACATATACAAAATAGACGTATGTTTTTTAGCCCTTAAATCTAGACCTATATGACAAGGCCGTTGTTAGTGGAAGCAAAAGAGAATTCTACTATACATTCATTAAATTTATATTGAAATGTTTATTATCTTTCACTTACAAGGTGAAGTTCTAAGCGACAACAAAAAAAAGACTATGATGAAGATACATATAATCTCAAATCCTATTTAGGTTTGATTCCCTTGGTATATTACTTAAACAAATTCTAAATTTAGATTTATGGAGTTCCACGTGATTGTTAATTGCATTTGCATGTATAAGTACAACTAGTAACTAAAAGACCATGACAATGATGTCTAGGGGTTTGTGCTTACGTCGTTAATATGTTATTTGGACTCAAATTCGTATAATGCATGTTACTCTTAAAAGAAAAATTAGTAACTACAAACTTTGGTTTTAATATACAAAAAGCTCAAAGTTATTCGTTTATAACCGAGAGAGATTCCCAACCAAAATCCAATAAATCTCTAAAATTTGTATAAATATTCAGGTATTTTTACCACTTAAAGCATGTATAGTTGTCAACAATACTTGAAAATTGAAATGACATTGACCGATCATGATTAAATTTTTGATTTTGTTCAGTCAATTTTTTTGTATCTTTTTTAATCGTAGAACAATGTAAAAATGAGCAAGCTATCTTTCAATTCATGATTTTTCTTTTAAAAGATACTATATGATATAGTTATATATCGGTGTAATGAAACTAAGATCAATAGAATGTTGGAAGAAATAATGAGGTCATTATGTAACTACAAAACCCTTCGTACCTACGCCATATAGTCATATCCCAACCAAACACATTCACTACTGTTTGGCCTGACTTTCACCGACCCCTAAAAGATGAGGTTTATTTTGTAATTAGACTTATAGTTGATGCCATTAATAGCAATGACATGATGCTTCTCTTTATGCTACATTTGGTGGTGGGGATATATCTAATATCTTTATCTTACAGCCCAACAATTTTTATTCTAATCTCCAACCATAAAAGCTGTAAAATTCCATTAGATACGTAATTTTTTTTTTTTTTTATCATAATGTACTTAAACATTTATGGTGTAATAAGGCCCGTAGATTGCGTACGATAATTGAGTAATTAACGGAAAAGTTATTTGGACACAAACTGTATGTTAACCATTCATCTTTTCCGTACAATGATTAACTTATGCTGTTCTTACTTTTGGGAACCAATCCACGATTCATTACAATAATTCAAGTAAATAAAAATACAGTACACCCAAGATTTGATACCATTAACTATAAATAAAAAATATTGTAGATTCTTTACATTCTTCAATTCGTCCAAAACATATATACAAAAAACACAGGGACTGTTTTTAAATTCGAATTGTATAAACATATTGTTTAAGACAGAATATGGTATTTTCACTTTGGTTGAGAAATAGAGAGAGATACAGTTTCAATGGTTGAAAAAGTTTTTAATCTCACAACACAATGAAGGAGAGAGATAGTATCATATAATCACGTGGAGCTGTCGTTGTTACCTGTCTAATTTCAGACACGGTACAGTTTAATGATCTGATCGATCTTGGCGCGACAAACCGGACATCCCCATTTCTTGGATTTGATCTCGGTTAAGCAAGACATGCATCCAGCGACATGACCACAAGGGACACAAACCGCTTCAGATGGAGCGTCGAGACATATCGAACACTGTCCAGAGCTCCCGTCTTCATTCTTTTCACCAGATGCTGAAGCTGGTAGAGAAGAAGGAGATGGAACATCGACAGGTGTTGAATCGATTGATGGGTAATGAATCGGACCTTCCTCTATGGTCTCTGTACCATCAGCTGTCAATGGAGGTGCTGATGGTGAAGGTTCTTGGATAACAACACTTTCATGGCTGTTGTAACCCGAGCCGCTTGCTTTTCCTGAGTGCGGAGGAGGAGGAGGAGGTGGTGCAGTTGATGAGCTTGGAGCGGTTGATGAACTTGCTTCACCGATGAAATGGTGACTGATATTTGGTGTCTCACTGTTAGCAGAGTGAAGTGGTGGTGCAGATGGTGCTGTTTGGAGAAAGATTGGAGGATGCATTGGCTGTAAACACAAGAGAGTTTCGTTATGTAAAGCAAAGAAGGAAGAAATGAAAACAAAGATATCTCTCTATAAATCCAATGTTTTTGAGATTACCTGTGGGATTCCTTTACATGCATCACAAAACCACTTAAGCTGTTGTCCATCACCTTCAATGGAGGGAGCAAGTTTAAGACGTGTTTCTGTAAGAAAAGAGAAGACAAACTTTGAATGTTGTTTCCATTTCACTGAAACAAAATTTCTATAAGCAAGAAACAGAGAAAAGTAAGACAGAGACATCGATTTTTCTTGGTAAATTTAAAGCATGGTGGTAGAAATTCTCTGATATGAACTAGTTTAAGGATGGTTGTTAGCAACTAAACAGTGTAGACTTACGCCTAACTAATTGAGGCCTACGCCTCCCGTGGGAGGCGCAGGCCCTTCGTCTTTGCCTCCTGCGGCTTGGGACTATCCACCAGAATAAAAACTCAAATCATCATCCACAAAACTTTTAGAGGTTCGCATGTCAATAGAGCATATAAAAAGTGCCAGGAAATTACTTGCGGAGTTATCAACAATCATCACTGAAGTATCAGACTGCTTCGCTTTTGGTTCCTCCAAGTTTGCTTTCCACAGTGGCATCACCGTGCGTGGCTGTGCATCCTGATTACACATCATACCAGTTTATAAAGCAGATAAACCAAATATTGCAAGACGTAAGTGAACTATCGTAACTTTGTTCTGTAATCTAATTGATCATTGTACCTGCAGACTAGCGTACACAACCAGCTCAAGCTTGAAAGGCTTTGTAGGGTTTCTTGAACCAGTTGGTACGATGACTACCCATCTGCGGATCATACAGTTTATAGAAGATTAATAGCTTTCCTCAGAATTCAGGGAAAAGAAACGAGTTTTCTGTAACTAACAGAGTAAGCTACACATATAACCACTGAACAAACACATATAAGGGTGAAGTTTAATAGATACTCACACTCTTCTTGAAAGAAGCTGAGGAGCAAATAGATCAAGAAAGGTAGGGCCGTAAAACTCACGCATCCATCCAGAGAACAAGCAGATGTGACTCTACAGAATCCACAATTCAGAAGAAAAAAAATTCTTAATCCACGTATCTTTTCACAAGTTGGTTACAACGAATGATAAAAAAATGTATCACAAACAAACCTCGATTGCACGTACGACATTGCTGAATCCTTTGACTCTAGCGACCTCAAGTGGTGTTTGACAATCATCATTGAGAACAAGTGGATTTGCTGCCAAAAAATGGAATAAACCATATGAGATAAAAGATCACGTCAAGTAGAAATCGAGCTCACACACACACCAAGTTGTAAGAGAGGACAAAACACTTACCACCATGCGAAAGAAGCAACTTAACAGTGTTCTCAAGACCTCTTTTTGCAGCATGATGCAGAGGAGTCCCAGCATGACGAGCTAATTGTCCACAAGAGAAAAAAAAAACAAAAAATCACATCTCCAAGATCCAAAACCAAAGATCATGAAGTCTCTAATAGAATCAACAAGGTCTCAAACTCCAATCACATTCAGTAGATGCAGCTAAAAGCTACTCAGATTCTTCAATTATCCCAATTTGGGTAATACATGAAAGCTCTAAGAATCAATTTTGAGAAAACGTTTTTTAAATTAAGGAAGATTCCTCAAATACCAGGACGATAAGCATTAACATTGGCGCCCAATTCGATCAAAGTCTTCGCGACATCATATAGCTCCGAGTTCATGCAAGCCAAGATCAAAGGTGTTTTCCCTTCTCTATCCATCCACTACATAATCCAAAAACACAAATTAAAAAACCCTAATTTCGAGCAAATTCAAACAGTATCAATCAAACCAAATTGATTGAAAAAAAAGAAGGAAATTTGAGGAGAACCTCGAGGTCTGCACCATCTCGACGAAGAGCTCGAATCCCTTCCGCGTTACCGTAACTCACTTGCTGATACAGCAATTCCCCTTTCGATTGCTGTTGCCCCATTTTTCTTTCGCCGATCAAACCAAAATCCAGAAAATGCTAACGAAAAAAAGTCGTCAGATGAAATCAGAATCGAGAAAGTTATACACTGCCGACAAGAACGAGCTCTCGTTTCTGGGGAGTGGAATCGATCGAGAAAATTTTCTCGGGAAATTGAAATTTTATGAAACAAAGGGAAACGATAAGAGGATAAAAAAAAAATTAAGGGTCCCAAAAATGAAACTCAAGATATTTTTGGTTTTCCTTAACACAGAAGGTTCCGAGAAGGTCAGGTCATTTCCATAGAGTTGCTCGAGAAATTTACCTACATTAAAGACAGTTTCAACTTTGTATCTGTTGACTATTTTATCAGATCATTAAATTTTGCATTTGTGTAATTTACTTAACTTAACTTTTAGATTTTTAATCCAATTTTCAATTGAAATCTTCTTCTTTCTTTTCACTTATATACTTTTTTGTTAGTTTAATTTTATTTTGGATTGAATATGAGTTATTATTGTATCGTGTTTTTGGTTTTAGCTTTTAAATTCGATCATGTTGCATGTCTTCTTTTGATTGGGTTTTCTAATTTCACACAAAATATGAATTCATGCTATTAATTATATGATTAGTTATGTGCTTAGTGGTATAACTAGAAGCATTTTATTCGTGTTCAATAATTTCATCTTCCTATCTATGTGTTACTAAAATTTACTAAATCGGCTAGGATGAGAAATGAGAATTATAAAGCCCAATGGCCTAGATCCAACTTTATCATATTGGGCCTCTCATTTTAATGGTTTCATTCGACTTTTTTTTGGGTAAAATTTCATTCGACTTTTAGTTTTCTCTCTACACTCTCTTCGTCTTCAGTCTTCATTGACGAAAAAAAACCTTGAGAGACAGAGAGAGAGAGATAGTTAAAATGGAAATGCGCTAGGGTTTATTGGTTATATAGAGAAGACCGATTTGAGTAGCTATTGTTCAAACTACGGAAGCAGGAATCGACGGCGGGAAAGCCTCAGTCTCATCTCCGGCGGGTATCTGATGTTAAGAACTTGGTATTTGCAACAGGCTCCTTCTCGGCTCAGTTTTTTTGAATAGAGAACCTGAGACACAATTGGGGGATTAGGTCTTTCTCGATTGAAGCTAGGGATGTAGATTTATTGATTTTTGATTGGGGGAAGTTATGTTAATGGCAATGGCGATGCAGAAGAGAATCCTTCCGGGTGATTTGGTGGAGGAGATACTCTCCAGGGCTCCGGCGAAACAGTGGAACGCTCTGTTGAAATCTAGGAGCTTTGCTAAGAAACACTCAGCTAATGCACCAACGGAGGAGTCTCTGATTGTGATGTTGATTGATTTCAGGGTTTGCTTAGTAAGGATCAATTTCCATGGATTTCACAACTACATTCCTCCATCCGTCCAGGCAGCATCTCAGCTCGAGCTTAGAGATTCCAAAGAGTTTTGATTTTTCCTAAAGCGTGTCTCTTCCTCATCCATTTCCTTGTGATTCTGCGGCTTTATCCGTGGTTGGAGAAGAGCAGCTTTCTCTGTTGGGTACTTTTGATATGATTCAGCAGAGATACATGTATGGGTGAGAAGCAGCACAGGATCATGGAGCAAGTTCATGACAGTGGGAGATAGTCATTCGCGTTTTGACGAGGTGTGTTTCTTGGCAGAACAGAGTTGTGGTGTGTTGCGATGAGTACGCCTTCCCTGAGAAGGAACTACACTTTGTGGGAGAAGATAGATACATACGAGTGGCTCATCATGGTGGACATTCTACAGACAGGGCATATTGCTCAGATCTTCAGACTTATGTTCCAAGTTTCGCTCAAATCCAACAATGTGGGGATCAGAACTAGAGTTAAGAGCAAACACGTGTGACTTGTAATTCTCACACCAAATCTATTTTCTCTCTTAATTTCATTCTTCCTTCGATTTTCTTTGGAATGGTTTTGCATACTTATGAATGCAACTATTTATAATAAAAATGTAACTATAAATTTCGAGAAGACACAATTTTTTAAAGTGCAATTAATATTTTTTCAGATTGTTATTATAGATAGATAAATTTAATTTAATTTAATAATAATTTTTTGACAAAAAAAAATTTAATAATAATTTTTTAATATATTAAAAAATTGAACCAATTATAAAGGATCACATATTTTGAGAGTCTTTTGTAAATCTCATATAATCTCTCAAATGAGAGACTCATCTCATTTTTTCTTCACTTTATATTATTTTTATATTTTTTAAGAGTAAGAGACTCCTTGAGAGACTTCTTTGTGTTCCTGTGTATTTTAAAAGTGTTTAATTTTTTCTTATTTTCCAATAATTTTTTACTTTATTTGTAACTTTCAGAAGTACATAAAGCTTGATATTTGACCTAATATAACAGAGAAGATCAATATATTTGCTTCATATATAATATTTGAATTTCACAATAATTGCATGAAATAATTGTATATTTTATAATTTGATTAATTTATAGCTATTGTAGATAAAGAGATTTGCCTCAAACGAATGGTTTTTTAATCTATATCCGTTGAATGTAATTTTGTAAACAGTGTTGGTTATGTTTAACTTAACAGTGTGGTTGACCCCAAAAAAACATAGAATCACTCTAGTAAAGTTGTTTTAGGTCTCTCTCGAACTCTTTATAGAATATGTAATCTAAATAATAAATAGAATCACCAAATGTAATCGCTGGTATAACTGAAACTGAGGACATATAGTGAAAAGTTTAATCTTCATCAGAAAAACCATGCAGGGTAGATCCTAAGTTCCTAAACAAAACTACGGAGAAGAGAAGGACAGATATAAATCATAAGCTTTGCGCTTTCCTTTAGGGTCCACCAAGAAGTGTAGCTTGTTGGATTTGAGCAAAACTTGGAACAAAATTCAGAAGCCTTTTGCAAGATGGTGGTCCGAATTTATAAAGTGGAATTAAGACTTTGTTGTGCTTCGAGTAATATTGGCAATACATTAGAGCTTCCTTCTGCTCGTCCGCCAAGAAACTCGATGCATTAACAATGTCCACATGATGGCCGTTCAATGTTAGGAACTTGCTCCATGATCCATCTATAGTTGTCACCCATACATGTAAAGCTCTTGAATCATCATCACTGCATAACAGGCAAAGTTGTTCTTCTCTGGCCACTGATAAAGCCGTAATCACATGAGGAAGCTTATGAGGAAGAGACATACTTTGAAATCACTCTGTTGAATAATCAAAACTTATTAATTAATCAACAAAACCAATCCAATAACTATTTCCCTTCACAGACACGCCATCATGACGTGGTTGTAAAGTCCAATCGGTAGAACCTAGAATAACTCTCCACGAATCAGAGGTAAAGTCATAGATTTCATACCCAACGATAAATTCATAAGTTCCATCCTGGACTGAGGAACGACGTTCCTGTCTCAAGATTTTGTATTTCTTACAGGAAGAATTGTTGTCGTAACCGAGAGCATAGATATCATATTCCTTGTAGCTGTCTCTGGGTTGGATCCACTTGGTTTCTCCAGAACATGGATTCCAAACCACGAGTCTCTTCTTGTCTATCGTGGTGCATAGCAATAAACCGTCGCAGAGAAAGACACGATATATATCGACTTGTGAAAAATTAGAAAGTGGATCTTTAAGGTTGAATTCATATGCTACCTTAACAGATGGAGCAGCGTTGTTGTGAAATCCCTGGAGATTGATCTTTACTAAGCAAACCCTATAATCAATCAACATGATACTCAAAGACTCCCCTTTTGGTGCATTAGCTGAGTGTTTCTTAGCAAATCTCCCAGATTTAGACAAATCGTTACATTGTTTCGCTGTTGATAGAAATCGTGCCAGAGATTTAACAGGAACCCTCGAGAGTATCTCTTCTATCAAATCCCATGGAAGGTTTATCCTCTCCATGGCGACTCTTGACTCTGACTGAATAAACTTTTACCTAAGACCTAACCCATAATAATTATATCATCTCTCGGTTTTCTATTCCAAGAATGACAGTTTAACATATCTGCACAAATAAGTATCTAATAATTCCTAAAACAACAAGAATTTTAGGCAACGGGTTAAAAAAAATAGAAATATCTAGAAAAAAATAGAGCTTGCCAAAATGGAAACCCTCTTTTTTTTTTTTTCAACAAAACCAAAATGGAAACCCTATATTGCAGCGCAATCGAATACAAAGCACACCTAAGATTTTTCGCAAAAACTACAAAAATCTCCTCTTTTTTTTTTTTTTAAGCTTGGCATCGTTTATAAGCATTGTGGCAAGTAAGTGAAACATCAAGAATGTTGCTTACCTAACCCAAAAGTAAATTTGACAAATCTTAATCATACAATTGAGAGAAGTAGTCACAATAGTTACCAAAATCAATCGAATTAGCTGGAAAATCAAGATGAAGATGAAACGTGTGAAGTCTTGATAACTTGAAGAACAAGAAAATTCAAGTTTGGAGCTTGTCACGATGGGACCACATTACTAACTGGATACTATGATCAGCGATGATCATGGTTGGGTTAAATGGGGGACCACTTTGAAGCTGGCATAACGGCTACTGCGGATACGAGACAAAGCAGCAGCCTCGCCTCCAAGCTCAAAGACTTCCCTGTCCGTTTCTGGTCAAAGAAGAAAGCACTTTTGGAGGATTCACAATCGCATTTACAGAACTGCGTTTTCGCGTTACAAAGCGGGTGGAGGTGCGGTTGCGTTATCAGGAAGCCCTAAGGTGTTAACACTATAAGAAGGTTTCTTGTTGTTTGAGAGTTTGAGAGCGAGAAACTTAGAGTTATTAGAGAATGAGAGAAATACTTATTAGTTTAAGCTTGTTCATTGTATTTCTTGGTTACAAGAGGAAGAACAGAGTGGACTCTACAGACGCTAGTGAAGGGCGGTAGAAAGGAACACTTGTTCTCCTCGGATATTTGTAAACTCTCGGTGCTGTTTAGTGGATTCCGAGCAAGGCTCGGCGAGACGTAGTTTAGACGTGAACTCGTTAAAGTTTCTGTGTGCTCCCTTTCTTCCTTAGTTCTTTTTCTTCTTCTGTTACTCCTCTGTTTCTCCCCTGTTTCGTATTCAAACATCTCTCTCTTGATCTGTTTCGATTCTATCTTAAGGAAACGCCTTGAGGCTCATAGATCCTAACAAAACGCAGCAAAGTATTTCTTGATTCATTCATCATTACAAACAAACGGCCAATCATTCTTCATCATTACAAACAAACGGCCAATCATTCTCGCTATTATTATCCAAAACTAATTGAATAAGTTTTCGATTCTAGACGTCCGGTTATGTCAAAATTTTG